AAAAAAAAGGGGGGGGGGGGGGGGGGGGGAGAGAGAGAGAGAGAGAAGGGGAGAGAGAGAGAGAGAGAGAGAGAGAGAGAGACCATTTCATCAACCGCTTCTTGCTACTGCTTTACTTTTTATTGGCCTTCCTCTCTCTGTCTGTCTGTTGTTATTCAGAGAAGGCAAGACAGAAGAGCAGATGGTCAGGATACTCTGAGAGTCAAGAGAAGGCTTCTTGCAGAGGTGTAAGCTCTGGCAATTGCCCCATAATACCAATTCCTGAGGTTGACCCTGCTTAGGAAATACTTAATGTGCCCAATGAAAGGACAATAACGTATTTGAAAATTATTTTTAAGCTTACGTAATCCAAGTGAGAGGAGCCTTTCCCAGTCACTCCTGTGATGTATTCTCAGTGTGCTAATGGAAAAAAAGCATGGATATTTATTTGTACAGAGATGGAAGCACTAAGCATTACCCATGGCATTGTACCTGATCATTGACTCCAGATTTACTCCTTCAAATATCAAGACAGAATGGAATAACAATGGATCCTCTATTTTCATTTGTGCCAACAATATTGGCAAACTGCAAACATGCAGAACTGCTGACATTTACATGTATAATCTAAGCAGGCATTCCCAGGAAACTATTGATCTGAGTCATTAATAAAGCATGAATTCATTGCTAATTCAAATGGGCAGTTGAAACAGCCTGTCATGTGTATGGAGAAGAGTATTTTTTTCCACAACCAGATTAATTTTCATTGGATCTTTTATTCAAGTTCTTGCCTGCTTAGTAAGTTGTTATAATTCCAAACACACACAGCTTTTGTGATCATCTACAAACATCCTTTGTTAAACTCCTTAAGGACAACCCTTGTGAAACTGAAATGCAAAATGGCAAAGATCAAGTGTAGGTCTTGTTCATTAGCCAGAACATCTTTTTGCTGGGAACCAGTCTGTATTTTCTCTTGGGCCACAATGAATATGAACAATAATGAAGGGACACACAAAGCTGCTCAAAAGAAAGTTTTTTTCCTCATTCTGTGTTGCTTGGTATGTTCTATAACATACCAAGCAACACAAAATGAAGAAAAAATGAGATAAAAAGATGATGTAAGATTTGTCCAGAGTCCCATAGGTATCTCTGTGATTCACATGTTAGATAAAATCCACAGGAAGATACTTTCATGGAACTTATTTTTTCCTTGCCAGTGTTTGCATATTTAAAGCCATTCCATATCTGAGCCATTCCATTCCCAAACAGATGGGTCAGAAATTCTAGTGCAGCATTTCCCAACTTAGTACCCCCCCGTCATCCAGTATATCCAGAGGGGCCAATATGTGGAAACATGCTGTACTGATGCTAAAGGTTTTCAGGAAATATGGTCAGGGGATCAGAGGAGTAAATATTTCCAGGATGATGAGAAGTGCTAGAATTTCATGGAAGCTAATTTTCATGGAAATTAATTGTCAGTATAATAGGAAATCAATGTACAAATAGGGGAAAAAAGCAGGAGACATGGACCGACATCCATAACATGCCTAAATGCAGTAATGGATGAAAACTGTCAGTGCCCTAGATCTAGCAGTCCATGGCATATGCCAAAACATTTTACCAATAAAACTGTTCATATTCATTAACAGCAACTGTTGGAATAGTAAATGAGCTGGGCACTTATTCAGTTTTCATAAATGAGTTCATTCTTGTTCAACTGAATATTGGATAAATCTCTTGGAGGAGTAAGATTGGAGAGTACTTGCTTGTTGGACCTTTGTGAATTATGATAAAAATCTGCCAAAAAGAAAGTAGTCAGTATAGGAGGTAGGTGTTTTTTTCAGGGAGGGGTAACTGGATCTTAAGGTTCTTGATAACTACTGAGTACAGTATTCACTAACATTTTTCTAAATAAGATCTTAGAATCACCAATAGCAACTGAGTTCCAGGCTTTATTTGATAATGAAGATTAACTAGATCCTTTCCAGTCAAATTTGAGATTGAATGAAGGGACATAAACAGCTCGACTGGCTTTGGTAGATGATTTATATTGCGGACTAGCTAAGGAGAATTCCCTTTTGTTTCCGTTGGACCTCTCAGCATCATTCAGTACTGCCTAGGAAGAACTATTTTGCACTGGTTCCTTGTAATCTTACCTGACTAATGTTCTGCGAAGATAATAGTAGGAGACTATTTCTCATCCCTCTTTTTACCTTTTTTTAAAAGTCTCCCTTTTGTCTCTATGCTTTTCAACATCTACTGTACATAAAAACAACTGTTTGTGTCTCTGATTGTAAGCTGTAAGTATAACTGAAACTGAATCAATTTTGCCCAATAATTCTATAATTTAAATCTGAATTACCATACATCAATGTTTCTCAACCTTGGCAACTTTAATATTTGTGGACATCAACTCCCATGTTGGCTGGAGAATTCTGGGAGTTGAAGTCAACACATCTTAAAGTTGCCAAAGTTGAGAAACAGTGCCATACATAATAGAGAAAAAGAATCACTTGTGATTTCTAAGAACCAGACTGCCAGCATGCTAGATTTACAGGGGGTGGAGACGGGGAGAGAAAGGAAACCACTATTCAACTATGAGGCCTGCCAGTTATCAGCTGCTGCTTCATTTCTGCCCAACATCTCTAAATGGTTGACCTCCACTATGGAAAGCAACTTCACGATGGTTCCTTCAGGCCATGGGCTGACTCCACCCACCCAGGCTAGCAATTGTGGATGTGTCTGCTATATGGTTGAAAAAGTTGTCTTGATACCAGGTTAAATCTCTTCTTAAATCAGAATACAAGCAATAAATGAATGAACACATGAACACTTCAGGCACATGCTAGAAATTATAAGGAGAAATGAATGATTATTCATTTAAAATATTTTAATTTTTCTTTTAAGTGTTTTTCCAAAGTATTCAACTTTCAGTGCAGTGGCATGTTGAAGGAAAACAATATTTTAAAAATCATAAAACTGTCAAAAAAATGAAAACAGAAGAAATAGCCAATTATGTAATTAAACCCTGGAAAAAATAACATTTGTCATCACAATTTTTAGTTACTGCTAAAAAGTATAAAATTAGACACCAGCTCAGTTTCTTTTGAGCAATATTCCTCAGTGGTGACACCTTCATTGAAAAGACCCCATCAACAGCTTTCAGCCTTATCATTCTTGAATATGGTGACATCCAGGTCAAGGCATTAGATATAGATAAATAAAATAGTTAGATCCATGTAGGAGCAAGTTGTTCATTTATGAAATAATATTCAACATGATTGGCAGGTCATATAAGGCTTCATTGGAAGAAAGTTTGTATAGATATAACTGCACAATTTTCTTTAGTTAGAATTACAATACTGTATGCAATCAATACAATGGTAAGTATACGTTAAATAAATAAGGAAACTAATATAAATCAAAGTGCGAAAAAAAATAGTACATTCTTTGTTCAATGTAAATAAGGACAGGAAGGGGTCAAGAAAGTCAAAATGGTGGCCATGACTGCACAATCAAACAGTATGCATTGCATTAAAAAGGGTCAGGGTTAGGGTTAAGGTTAGACTAAAAAAGTCAAATAATTTTATGGATATGATATCAATGTCCTAAATTATAATCAATGTTGATAGAATATATATTTCTTTTTTCTCTATCTCCAATACTCCAAGTTATCTAAACGATATATTAATAACTAATTAATACCATACAAATATCATTGTATTGAAACAATATAATGTATCAAGGCTTATAACAATATAATAAAAAGGAAAAAAAGAGGCCAGGGCTTCAATCATATGGCTGTAGCCACCATCTTGACTTTTGGACTGCCTGATGTCCTTATTATGGAGTTCTTGCCTATAATTTTAAGACCACTCAACTATACTAAGTGCTGACATTTTAGAAATAGTGTAATAGGATTAAATCTTGTTCTAGAACTTTTATGGACAATTGTTTTTCTATTATACTGCTTTGGCTGGTAATACAGGGGAGTGCTATATGGTTATACTATATGCCCCAGCAACTTTTGACTTACTTAGTTAAATATTCATTTATTTATCTAATACCTCTAAACACAGAAGTACACACGCATATATGAGGCAAAGCTTTTACAGGGATTTCCTAAGGAAAACTTTGGTGGTGCTTTGGAATAAGTAGCCCAACTGAATAATACCACCAGGATTCAACGGATCTAGCAATCTCTTTCCAGCATTGCCCAGCCAGAATGGGCAAACCATGTGTAGAGTCAACAGCTTCCCCTTACTGAAGTATATGCTTCCAAAGAGGGAAACCATGTAGTGATCATGGCTAATAACTGAGTATGGATGGATTTAACCTGCACAAGTCTATCAAACCCAACCTCCACCGGCCTGGTGTTCTGCAGATGTATTGGTTTACAATTTGCAGATTTCCCAGCTAGCAAATTCTGCAACATAGTTTAACATATGATAGAAAGAAGTAGTTTAACCTTCTAAAAGCTTTCAAAACTTGTATCCATAGCTTCTGTGCTTTCCCTTCCATGCTCTCAACTTTGTCTGGTTTTGAATATGAAAAAAAAAATCTCATAGCCATCAATTCTAATATTTTAAGACAAGGAGAGGACAAAGTCTGTCTACTAATCTTGTTCCACTGCAACAGGATCTTATATGGGATTCAGCTTTAGATAGTGAGAAAAAATGTACTCC